TAGTATTTCGGTACAATGTGTAAACAAATGTAAGTGAACGAAATTTACTTATTTTTATTTTATTTTAATCAGATATCAAATAAAACAATCATTATTCCAAACTTTTTGCTATATTATTGTTAACTGAAAAGCGTCAAATCATGCGACGATGGTATCTACTAGATATCTTATGTGTTGCTTTACAGTAATATTATCTAGTAAACTGGTGGACACTTTTTTCTTTAAAAAATTGCCGTCATTTTTTCGGCGAAACACTCTAGCTTTTCTACAAGTCCACCATTCTACGAAAAATGTATGTAAAACTAAAAACGTACATAGTATACTAGCAAGTATTATATAGATATAGATCCCATATTTGATTTTGTTTTACATAGTCCCTAGAGTCATCGTCGCCCGTCGGGACCCTTCTTCCAGAATAAACTGTTAAACTGCCTTTTTCAGAGCTTTATACTGTCGCAACCCGCTAAATAATGACTACCCCTAAGCATTTCAATTCACTACAAATAAAAACATTAATTCATTCCATCTGTATTTAAAATATACTTTATATTTAAAAAGAAGGATTAGTTTACACTTGTAGCTAAACGATGCAGGAAAATTGAAAATCCTTATTACACCCTGAACATATACCCTGTTAAATTAAACACGAAGTTTATAACGCCCTGAAGAAAATGTCGGAGACGCTATGAAAGATATATTAAAATGACAAGCTTGGTCGATTTAGCCCATAGACGGATATGGGACTTGTAGCTGCCATACAAACCGAAATCCGATCAAACTCAAGGCCCTGTATGGAAAACTTTTTTATTTGAAAATGTATCTTCACAAAATTCCGCATAGATTACTGCCTAAGGAGTCCTACAATAATCGAAGAAATTGTTCAGATCGGACTACTATAGCATATATCTGCCATATAAATTGAACAATCGAAATAAAGTTCTTGTATGGAATCTTTTGTATCTGTGTAGGGTCTTATTGCTTCGGTAAAACCGAAGTTAACGTTTTTTTTTTGTTTTTCAATCCATTTGATTAATTTCGATAAATTTGCAAAAAAAAATAATAATATGTGCTTAAGGAGTTCGACGATGTTGTTGTTGTTGTTGTAACGATTATCTAATCCCCGTTTGGGTGATAAATTCTAGATTCGTTGTCGTCGAGGTCATCTAACGGAAGGCCCACGAAACGAGCTGTTTCGACGGGGTCGGACCATAGGGAGAGGGGTGTTAGATGAGTGGGGTTTGTTGGGCATGCAAAGAGGTGGTTAGTGTCATGCGGAGACTCATTGCATGCAGGACATGTGTTTAGTATGTCAGGGTCAATTCTGGATAAGTAGGAGTTTAACCTGCTACAGTATCCGGAACGAAGTTGCGCGAGGGTCACTCTGGTTTCGCGAGGCAACTCGAGCTTTATGTCTGCTATGGGTGGTGGTTTGACTCCTATTACGCCATTCACTGAGAGGGAGTCTGTGAAGGTGTTGATGGCTCCACTGTGAATGGCGGTCAGTGCCTGTCTAAAGTTAGTTGCGTCCGAAGTCTGGTCGGCGTGCTGTCTGATGTCGTCGACGTAGTCAAGGAAGGACCTCTTGATGTTCCTAGGAGGCTGCTCCGCTGCAAGCAGGCGTCTGCAGGGGTGGTTTCTGCGAAAACCTTAACCGGAAGCATACGGGCCTCACTATGTAGGTGTTCGATTGGAGACATCAAGAGGCATCCCGTGATAGTCCGGAGTGCAGTGTTCTTACAAGTCTGTAGCTTCTTCTTCTGCGTGTCACTGCATCCAGGCGACCATATTGGGGCTGCGTAATTTAGGACCGGCCGGCCGATTGCCTTGTACGTTGCCAACAACGTTTCTTTGTCTTTTCCCCAAGAGCTGCCGGCAAGCGACTTGAGGATTTTGTTGCGGCTCTGTACTTTGGCAGTTATCGCGGTCGTATGAGGAGTGAAAGAGCACAGACTGTCCAAAGTGACGCCTAAAATTTTAGGGTTATTTACTGTCGGAATTTTTGTGCCATCGACTGAAATGTTCAGGTCCAGTCTGTACTCCTTCGTCCAATTGGTGAAGATGGTCGCTGTGGATTTAGTGGGGGAGAGTGTTAGGTTCCTTGCAGAAAAGAAGCGAGAAAGATCGGTGAGGTAGCCGTTTACTTTTGAACACATGCCATCGATTCCATTGCCCGACGTCAATATCGTACAGTAATCTGCGTACGAGGTCATTGAAATTCCCGCTGGTGGCTGGGGGAGTTTTGAAATGTAGAAATTAAAAAGTAGCGGGGAGAGGACACCGCCCTGCGGAACCCCCTGTTTAATTTTCCTCAGTTTGGAGTTTTGACCTCGAAATAGTGCGGAAGAGTGTCGACCGCTCAGGTAGTTCATGGTCCACCGCTTCAGCCCTGGAGGGAGCGTTGATTGTTCCAGGTCCTCAAGTTGCGTGATTGACTGTGTGGAAAGCTTTTGACAAGTCCAACGCTACGAGGATCGTCCTCTCGCAGGGTGGCTTCTGGTTCAGGCCATAAACTATCTGGGCGTTTATGACGCTAAGTGCTGTGGTGGTACTGTGCACTTTACGGAAGCCATGCTGATGGTCTGCTAGGCTCAGGTGGTGGGTGAATGACGGGAGTAACAAGGCCTCAAGTGTCTTCACTACTGAGGAAAGGAGAGTTATCGGGCGATAAGACTCCCCTTTGTTGGCGGGTTTCCCAGGTTTCAGCAGTGGGACCACTCTTCCGACTTTCCACACATCGGGTATTTGAAGAGTGGATATCGACAGGTTGAGGACCTTGATGAGGTAGTTTACTCCCGTTGGGAAATATGTTTTAACATCAGCATGCTTATTCCGTCAGGGCCGATGGATTTAGACGACTTCGCCTTTTTGATGACACTCTGAACCTCCCCATCGGTGAAAGTAAGTGGTGCGCAGTCTTTTGGCATTTTGCGCAGCCGTCGGGAAACACATCGTTTGGCCTTGTCGGTCGAAGGGTGCAGTATAAACTGCCGGCTAAAGTAGCTCGCGCACTTCTTCGGGTCCGAGGAGGCATGGCCATCGAAATGAATTTCAACCCGATCGTCATGTTTCCTCGGATTTGACAGGGCCTTGACAGTAGTCCAAAGCTTACTCACACCGGTGGAGAGGTTGCAGGACTTCAGGTGCTCTATTCATTTTGTCCGCTTATGATGATTTACCATTTGCCGAATCTCCAAATTGAGATCCCTTATTCGGGGATCACAGGGATCGGCATGGCGTAAGGTGTCGCGCTCATTTGCTAATACAGCTGCTTCGGCTGGGAAATTAGGGCGGAGTTCCGCTATTCTTCCAGCCGGTATGAAGCGAGCTGTAGCAGCAGCGATCACCTTGCGGAATTGACGCTCGCCAACGATGACGTCCGTAGGAATGGATAGTGCGTTGAAGGTAAATTCTGTGAAGCCGACCCAGTTAACTTTGTTAAAGTTAACATAGGTGCGGTTATCCACAGAAATAAAGTCAGGAGGTTTCTCGATCGAGATAATTATGGGCAGATGGTCTGATGCAAGAGTTAGCATAGGTCGCCAGGTTATACTATTTATCAGACCACCGCTAGCGATGGTAATATCTGGCGAGCTATTACAGGTGCCCATAATTCTGGTGGGGGCTTCGTCGTTCATTGTGCAGAATGTCGAATCGTCTATCTGTTCCGCCAGCTCCATCCCCCTACGATCGTTTGACAGGCAGGAATGCCAACGATCGTGATGCGCGTTAAAGTCGCCTAGCACCAGACGGTTTTCACCACGAAGTAGCGCATCTATATTCGGGTGATATCCTGTTGGGCAACATGTAACTGGGGGGATGTATATATTAAACATTTCGAGCTCGACATCGCCTGACCGGACAGCTATACCCTGACATTCTAGGGTGGTGTCCCTGCGGTCGATGTCAACATCGATTAGACGATATTGCACGGTGTTGTGCAATATGAAGGCTAGGGCTCCACCATTATCCCGCTCGCGATCCTTACGTAAAGCGTTGAAACCTGCACAACTCAGAAGATCTGAGCGGCTGTTTAACTTGGTTTCTTGGACCGCAGCTATCGTTACGCGCTCCCGGCTCATAAATGCAACTATCTCCTCGATCTTGCTCTGGAGTCCGTTGCAGTTAAATTGTAAGAGTCGCGTTTGTCGCGGGTGTCCAGTCGTGATCCTAGGGGTGAGTGGGGTGCGTGTAGGTGGGGGTTGTTGCAGCTGTGCTATCCGCATGGACGGTTGTCGCACTGTGGTGTTGGTTGGCGACGCCACTGTATGTGATTGCGGGGGCAGACTCCTACAGAATGGGGCAACATACGACGCACTCCACTCTCGTGTGGTGCGCAGGCCAGAACACGACAGAAAGTGACACCAGCCAGTACAAGAATTGCACTTGACTGATGTGACATTCCGGCGTATTATGGTCTGACACACGGAACAGATTGTGCGAGGAACCAGGAGTTGCTGTGTGGTTCTCGCACGAGGATTGGAGCTAGATGAAGGTTGGGGGAGGGAGGTTGGTCAGATTGGGAGTTATGCTGTCTATGTGAGCTCCTTAGGACCGTGGTGTGCAGTGCGCGAACATTGTGCAGGTTGCACGGCCGTTGAGGCAGATGTCGCATTATTGCGTTGACAGCATGAGGCCACGTAACTCGTGGTCCACTCCCTGTGTGTCTTAAGGCCCGAGCAGGTATTAAGATGGCTCCATCCATTGCATGTATTGCACCTAACCGAGGTGGAATTTGGATGGAGCCTTTTTGCGCATACGCAGCAGTAGAATACCTCGGTACATTTACCCTTCAAACTATTTCTTATAAAATTTTTTGTACAAAAGTAAAGCTAAAAAAAAAATATTTAAAATCCTTCTTTTTTACTTATATAATAACTACACTATATATCAAAAAGCAATGAAAATATTAAAAAGCAAATGCGGATCACCCTAATATATGGAAAGTTTTCCCCCTAAGTCTTTTGCAAAATGCAACACTGTGATATATTTACCCACCCGCTACTCGTTACTTTCGCCAAATCGTTCCGAGTTGACTCGTTGTGTTTGGGATATGTCAACTTCAAAGTAAATTCCTTCTTTTGTAAGGTCGCAAGTGGTAAGTAATCATTTGCACGCATGCTGTTTTGCAAAAACTATCATTGAGTGAACTTTATTTTTGAATTTCATTAAATTGTATACAGTTGACGGAGGCAGCGACTGCTTTGGCGTTTGCAAGTGCACAAAAACAACACAATGGCGGATTTGGATGATTTTTTTGCTAAGAAGGACAAGAAAAAGTCCAAGGCCAAGCCCAAGTTTTTAACTGCTGAGGAGTTGGTAAAAAATTTAGAAAAGGAGGCGGCAACGACCGCCAAGTCAAAAAAGGTGGAACCAACCATACCTGCGCCAACAATTGCGCCTGGTGCTGTTGAAGAGCCAACTGAAGTAGTAGAGCAGGTAAGTAACGAATGGTAATATAATATATTTGGGAATAAATATTATAAAAGTGCTTCTCTTTTTGTAGGCGCCTGAAGAAGAATGGGATGATTTTGAGCAAGAACAACGTAAAGATTATACTGGTCTCAAAATCGGTCAACTGACTTTGAATGATGATGAAGAAGAAAGTCCCGGTGAAGGTGAAGAAGATGATGTGGACAGTGATGGCAATGTCAATACTGAAACTAATTTCTCGAAACGTAGTGGAGGCGGTCCTTGGAGAAAGGTTGTTCCCGCCGAAGAAGTGACTCAAATTCCGATGGAAATTGAAAAACCCACATCAAAACTTTATATATCACCTGCATTAAGAGCTGCTGTAAGTTATAAGGAAATAAATGCAGTTATAAAGATGTTAATGCTTGCCACGTCAATTATTTACAATTACTTTGTTTACAAATATTGACTTATTTACATTGTCATTATGTGTTTAGCAAGCTGGAGCGGCGCCTGGACCACGTCTAAAGCCTCGTAACCGTGCGGCGCCCGATATTACAAATGCAGAGTACTTCCCCTCGTTGAGTGCTGCTCGCCCTGAAGAACAACGCAAGAAAAAGAATGAACCAGCTTTCGAAGAGGTTAGACACGGAGGTAGGGTGCAGCGCATCCATGAACCAGTTTTGGCGCCCGTTTCCATGGCGAATCGATTCCAGTCGCTGGACGAGGATGACAGCTAGAAAGCGATCGCCGCCATTCAAGTGTCACTTCTATGTGGATTATTTTTTTTTTTTTGCTACATGTTTTCTAAAGAACAGGATTTAGAAGTCCGTCTGTATTGTATGTATTGTACGCTTTGTATCTATATTTTTTTGTATTTTCCTCAGAGCTGTTTATTTTCACACTTTTTATACTTTTTAAAATGGAATACGGAGTTGTGGTACCTTATGTGCCGCCACTTTTCATAATTGTCCGAAAACTGCCGCTTCACAATAGAAATGATAATATTTAAATAATGGTAGGGACATATTAGTATCCAACAACCAAACAATTCCCAAAATGGTATAATAAGTATATAAGGGAATACTATAAAATGAAATAAAATATAAATGAAGTCAACTGCTAACAAAAAGTCGTTCTATTTTTTACATCACTTTTTATCTGTCACATTTTCATTTGGTCTCATCTTTAACGTGATTTAACTCATCCTGTACGTACATATCTTCTTTGGAGCTGTCCAAATAACTGCAAAAATTGAGTACATCGTTAGTAAGGAATGAAACCTATTGTCCAGTCTTTGAAATACATAGATAATATCAACATAGATGTTACCCAACAATTAAACACTAATTAATAAGATGCTATAAAAAATCGGATATCTTAGCCAACGCTATAATTATAACTCAATAAGTCATATCATCTTTAGCTTTTACTTCAGGCAGTCTTTCTGACCTTTCGCAGTAGGGGAGTGTCTCTGAATTATTATACTTTTCTAGGTAACGCTTGAATAGTAGCTGATCCGGGTATTGCTTGATCAAATACAGCCAACAATCAATATATCTGGAATATAGACATATTTATTTATTTTGAGTTAATACTTTGTAAAGAAGTACTTACTCATTTTTCTCAGTTTTTATTTGCTGTATTTCTCGGTCATAGTAATTGGGGTAATCTTCCAGCACATCAAGATTTGCGAACATTGTGTCGTCTACCTCATACACTTCCCCATAAACATTGTAGCCAACTCCAGGTTTGTTGAGTAAAAATGGAATGTTGTAGCGTGTGCCTATGACGAGTGGAAATTTTACTACCGTTTGCGCTTCACAGAGAAACCGTGAGTGGCCATTTTCGGATCGTGTTAGCCAATGGTGATTAGGCTCACCCCGTTTAAGTGTACCGTAGACGAATACTTTTATTAAATTGCCAGACATTTTTGTAGACATAATGTCATTGAAGTACTGAGCAGGTATTTAAGTAGCTAATAGAAGTTATCTGAGGGATTGGAGTAAATTGATAACAAGTGATTAAGAAATAAAGTGTGCCCGGAGGTAAATAAAAACAAAAACTGTCACAAGTTGTTTCCGTAATATTTAATGTGAACATTAACGCACATATTTAAGGACACATGCATTTAAATTGATGATATTAATATTATTTTTTTAGCATATCGCTTATTTTCGGCCTTTGCTATTATTAATTATCTTTGTTTTATGAGACCATCCACTCTTGTTGCTTACATATGGCAACGCTAAATATTAACCGATAGGGGTTGATATAAAAATGTTGATGCAGAAGTGACCTCATGTATGAAAACTAGCGAATTCCAGTCTAGCTCAAGTCGAAATCATTTGATGATTTGGAACAATTTAGTGTGAAAGTGAATAATCATTGTCGTTTGTTTAATCAAACTAGGTCTTACCTTCAGATTTGTTTTCCCAAAAATCCAAAATGTTTAAATCGCGGAAGAAAATATTGCCCACATAATTTTGTAGGGTGCTGCAGAATTGGCAGTCCTTGGACAGATAAAAGCCTGGGTTCATTCTGGTTACGTAAAACTATTGTAATGGGATTGATTTCTATTTTCCGCCTTTCCTTTCGATAGTCTGTCAGTACAACCGTTAGCTTAAGGAAATCTTTAAAAATTACGTACACATTTTACTGATACTCTGAAGAGGTAGATATCGTTGGTCGACCATTGCCACGGTAAAAAAAAGTACAGTAAAGCATAGCTTTTTTTATCAACTTATGCAATTATATATATTTATTTTTTATGCAGTATTTTTTTTCTTTGATATTATTTCAAGTTTTTTCGTTGATATTAATCCAAGTTACACTTTTTGAGCGTTGTGATCGATAAGAAAACAATTTTTTTTCTTTTATTGAATAAATAAGAAGTTAATCTTGTTTAAAATATTTTTATTATTTTACAATACATATAGGTTATTCAGGAATTTTTATCATTGAAACTATAAAACTGAAATGAGAATCATAAGTTCGAGACTTGGTATTCTCTAAATATCTAGAAAATACCGCCAGGTATTTTGGTGTGGATTCTTGTGAATCATTATTCATTTTGAAATTCAATTTTTCCGAAAGAAAAGTTGATGTTGAAATTGCCAGCCAAGATAAGTGGGAATTCATTACCATTGATAATCCGATTAAAAAGCCTAATTTCGATTATATTGTTTCGAAATACTGTTACCAAAGGTGGGTAGCAATATAAATATGCTAAATAATAATATATGATTTATTTTTTAATAATTAAATTTTTAATATATTCTATATTTTTATTTGCATTGAAAAAATTGTATCTTAAATATTTTTGAATCACCCTGCTGTCACTTCAATTGATTTGTTCCGCTTGAGATATGCGATAATACACCTAAAAGTAAACAAACATTTTGCGCATACTTTGTGATCGTGTTAGGTTTATTTCCGTTATGGAATTTCTTGATTCAATCTCCACGCTCCAAGCCCGCGATAGAAGCTATGCAATAACGTAAAACTCAACGTGTATTTGAAAGTACGTGAAGTGAAATGTAACAATAAACTAATTTTTGTACCAGAGGGTTTCAAAGTTCAAAGTTTTTAATATGTAGAAGCGACCTCCCATTTCAATTAAGTACCAAAACGATATTGAAACGGCCAATGTTAGACTTTAAGGTTTGACTTTTAGGATATTTTAAAATAAGGAAAGTCGGTTCAACTTCCCTTATCTATTAATTTCAGTGTGCACAAAATGGAGATTATTTAGAAACACCTCGTTAATGCCCTCAAGGAACGAGGTTAATTAGGAATAATTTATAGATCTATGCGTTTCTTATCAAATGTTTTATTCACAAAATTCTTAATATTACTGCTTTATAATACGTACTAATTGACATTATTATGCTTACTCGAAAAATCCTTTATAAATTGATTTTAGGTAATATTATAAAGACCAGGTGTTGATTAAACATAAAAGTTTATACATACATAAAGATGTTATATAGCTACTTTAAAAAATATACAATAGTTCAGCTAATATTGATATTAGAATTTTTATAAGCTGCACTCCATTTCTTAAAATTGAAACCGAGGAAACAATGCAAGCCTTCCATTCAATACAAGTTCACAGTAAGTAAATGCTAATCACACAGTTGACCAATTATCTATTGCTTAGTAGTAAATAGATCAATGACTACCACACTATAGAGCTCGACACAATTTAGGCAGCAGTGTAGGCAAGGTCCTCTTGAGGTGGATGCTTGTGTGTACGACGATTACGCATGACATAGGGGTGAGCGGCGCTGTTCTGATAGCTTGACAAATATTCCAGAGAGAGCAGCTTTTCGGGATACTTTTGCAGTAAATACACCCAACAAGGCACGGTGCTGAGGAGAGATCAGAAGGAAATAGATGAAAAATATTAAAAAATTAAAATATTTTGGAATTCTCTACCAACTTACCCTTCACCAACACCGATATTCATGTCATGCATCTCTCGTGTGAACACATCCTGGCAATCCTCCAAATTATCTAGCGATAACAGCATTTTGTCGTCTACCTCGTAGATCTCACCCAATACATAGTTACCTATACCAGGTTTGTTCAGCAGAAAGGGAATATTATAACGTGTAGCTATCACAAGCGGCAGTTTTTCGGTGGTTGTGGCGCGGCACCAGAATTTTGCATAACCATTGCCTGAATTGGCGAGAATGGAGTGACCAGGTTGGCCATATTTCAAGGCACCGCAAACGAAGAGCTTTTGCAAAGAAGAAGCAGCTTTCTAAAGAGTAATAATGAATAAATAAATAAATTGCATAAGAACTTTTTCTCTAAAGAACAAAATTGGCACAAAATTAATGAGATGGCAGAAGTACTTTAACGATTCTGCTAACAAAAATCATATAAAGACAATCAAATAAAAAATTATTTGCCTAGAATTTAGCTAAAATTGAAATGTACCATATATTGTACCTTATTCAAAAAGTGATAAATGATCAGTATAACGAGACGAGTTGAAAACTGGGTGACTGCCTGTAGGGTCATGCAAGTTGTAACTTGAGTAAAAAAAAGTAGTAAGGCGGAATGGGACGACTGTCACGCTTATAAAATACCGTTAACGGAAAACCAAAAAAATTGCAATAACCAAGCCATAAACTGAGATACAAAATTATAATTTGGTATAGCAAGATTATAAGGTCTTACGATAGTGCATCCACATAGCGCATCCAGCGCTAATTGAGCCCATTAGGGCATCACTCCTACCTACCTACCTGGTATAGCGAATGTAAGTGGGATGGGGCATCTGTGGACCGAAAACTTTTATGAAGTAGCCGCGGACACGCCACTTACGTCGTTTAAATACAAATGTTTCACAAACCACTAAAACTATATCAACCAAATTTGCTCAGGATAAATATTTTCTTCTGTACTCCTCATATAACGGTTATGTTGAAAATTACTAAAAGCGCCATAACTACATACGTTACACCGATGCGCTTCATAGCAACCGGTGTAAAAATTTAATTTTTATTTCTTAATCCCGATGTTGGAACTAAAAATTAAATTCTATTTTTTTAATCCAAGATGTTTGGATATAAAATTTGAATTATAATTATAAGCTTAAGGCTAAATTTTTTATTTCTCAATCTGGTAGTTGGGATTACAAATCCAGTTTTTGGGATTAAATATGTGTTTTTTAAATTCGGTATATGGGACTAAAATTTTTTTTAAATGTCGTATTTGGGATTACAAAATAAAAAAAATTTAATTCAAATATTAATCCAATTATTAAGATATTGCATAGCTTCTATCGCGGGCTTTGAGTGCGGCGACCGAATCAAGAAATTCCGTAACAGAAATAAACCTAACCCGATCACAAAGTATGCGCAAAATGTTTGCATATTTGTCGGAGTATTTTCGCATATCTCGAGCGGAACAAATCAATTGAAGAGCAGGGTGATTGAAAAATAATATACAATTACAAAGATAAATAGCTACCCCATCTTTTGGAAGAGTATCTCGTTTGACTTGAACAATACAATTGAAATTAGGCATTTTAATCATATTATCAATGGCAATAAATTCCTACTTATCTTGGCTGGCGATTTCAACATCAACTTCGCTGATAAAATATCAGAGCGGTTAACAACTTTTCTTTCGGAAAATTTTAATTTGAAAATGAATAATCATATTTAGAGGATATTAAGTATCAAACTTATGTTTCTTATTACCATTAAACTTATAGTTTCAATGATAAAAAATCCTGAATAACCTACATGTATTGTAAGATAATAAAAATATTTAAAACAATATTAACTTCTCATTTATTCAGTGAAAGAAAAAAATTTCTTATCGATCACCACGCTCAAAAAATGTAACTTGAATTAATGTCAAAGAAAAAACTTTAAATAATATCAAAGAAAGAGAAATACTGTGTAAAAAATAAATAGATAATTATAATTGCATAAGTTGATAAAAAATGCTATTCAATAGCTTTACCGTGGCAGTCTCCGAGTGCCACACGTAGTTTTTATCGTTATCGTATTCAGTATTCAGTCAATATTGAATGGAAACGTGTTCTCGAGTACGCTGGAGTAATTGCATACGATAATGGAATCAGTTAAGACTTTCCACTTGACTTCGAACCATTTATATCTGTATATAACCATAATATTTTACTGAACTTAAGTGGACATGTTTTCTTAAAAATAATGTGGTGTAGCGATGAATATGAATGAAATTGGGCTAAACCTTCGCCTAAACCTATTTCCTAATATACTGAATTCCGATCCAATATATTAGATTTAGCCAATTTGGTTGAGTTCATATCACACATATCTTGTTTCATAAATATTTCGGACCCAGAGAACAGAGTATAATAGTTTTGTTCACCTAACGGTGAATAATAATCGAATCAGATATAGGGTTATATATATATATTGGGTGTAGTAAAAAAAAGTTAGAATGATTCGATTTAGATCAAATATGCGCCGTTTTGTTCGATAACTTGTTGCCACTTTAAGGGTAATTTTATTATGTCTCTCTCTATTGTCAAAAAAAATTGAGACAGTCGATTTTCACAAGCCTCTCTTGAAGCGAATATATGTATATAAATGATCAGTATGATGAGACGAGTTAAAATCCTAGTAACTGAATGTCTGTCTGTCTGTGCAAGCGATAACTTGAGTAAAAATTAAAATATCTTAATGGAACTTGGTACAAGTATTTCTTCGGAAAAAAGTAAAGACGAGTTCTTATATTGGCGTAATTGGATTACTGCCACGCCCACAAAACGCCTAATCGAAAACTTATAAAATGGCATAACAAAGCAGTAAATTAAGATATAAATCTGTTATTTGGTACAGGCGATTTCAGTAGCAAGGGGCATCTTTGGGCACGATGGGCCTTAGCCTTTTGTTTGACGAGATATCTTCACGAAATTTGCCATTAGTTATTTCCTAAGGCAACAATGTAATATTCGAAGAAATTGTTCACTCACTAGATATAGTGAGCATATACTGTCATACAAACTGAACGATCGGAGTTAAGTTCTTGTAAGGAATCTTTTGTATTTGTGAAGGGTATATTTTGCCAATACCTATTGAATACCAAAATATCTTCATGAAACTTGTTGTACTTTCATTTTTAAATCTCAGATCCTCTGAATTTATTAGTGAGATTCTGAAATTCTTCCGGTGATGTACAAACCCAAAATTTGGCATCTCTAGGAAAGAGCTAGGAATGTTTGTTCAGCCGTAGTCTAAATATTAACATTCGCGCTAAAGCTAAGCGTCGCTAATAAGTTGTCTTGAAAATTTTGTAATCAAACGTTATCACATTGATTGCTACAACAATAAAAACCAACTATTCTAACCGACTTCAAAAAAAAATTGAATTGAATCGGATTCACTCATACTTATGTACATAATTATAATGTAAGCCAATACCTAGACTAATTTTGACAAATCATATAATTTCCGAAGTTAATCTAAACAAACATTTATTAATATGGGAAGTAACTGTACCTAATATGAAAAGATAATATTCAAACTTGAGTGTTTTGTGTGCTCATTTATAAGTAATTGTACATTTTGTTGGATATACGTACATAACATACATACATATTTACGTTCAAACAAATATGTTTTACAAATTCGCCACTTTCATGCACATAATATATTCATACATACATATACTTGTATATATATGTAAATATATTCATGCAATACGAATACATGCATACTCGCCAAAAGTAACACGGCATTAAAAGCTATCGTTCCTCATGTCTTCAAGTTATACATATTTATTTCGTGACGCGCCCCTTAAAAAACCATAGCAAAAACACTAAAACCGAACAAACCAGTTTTTCATATCCACATATTATTATATGCATTTGTTTTCGATAAACCAGACGATCTTCGTGCAAGTACAACGAAACCACCGAAGCAAAGAAATGTAATATAAATTGGCTAATATTAAAATTTATCAATGATATTATATTTTGGAAAATTCAGTATGGTGTGACACAAATTGCTAAATATGATTTTAGCGTGTTTTTATTTAACAGTAAATTTCAGTTAATAATTAAATACAATAATTTCTTTATTATTATAAATTTATCAGTACACATATTTAGGATTAAAAGTGTATATGCCGTTATGGGGCTATTTTACATTTAACTGACAAAAAATAAACTGTTGGTAAAAATAAACAAAATGCCATATTTTATATGAACCGAAGGATCGTTTTTATATAATACAAAATATAAAAAAAACTTTGCAACAAATTACCAGCTTTTGAAAGTAAATTAATTCACAAAATTATTCGTCGGGGTTGCTTTTATTTAATGCATCACTATGATTAACTATAATATCACACTCTGCTTAAAATGTGATGTTTTCTATGAAGTTAAGATTATCTATTAGTGTTTATAAATTGAAAGCTCACACTCTCCATATATGCCAAAAGTTCCTTATAAATATGTTATGAAAATATATTGAATTTGTCATTAGGGTCATTATGTGTGCTATTTATGTGATCGCTACTGTACATTAGTATGAAATATCTTAGCAGATAGGTAAGTGCAACACTAATTTAACATATTTAAACAAAACATGTAAACCGGCAGGTAATGCAAGTATGTAAACACATATGTACATATAAATACATATGAATATGTGTGAATCGAATGTTATTCATCTGCTTGCCGCTTGGGCCATGAGTGAATGGGGTTTAACAGTACGGGAAAACTTTTAACAAAACCTGAAGAAAAAAGATGATGAGGACAACCTTCCTTTCATGGTATACATACATATGTGTACATACGATTGTAGACATACATATATATGGCTTTTGGAACGCATTAAAGTAACCGAGTTTCTCCGAAGGAATTTAATACTTTTACCGATAAGTAAGGAGCGCTGAAAAACAACTACTTTTGTTTTTGTTAAGACTAGAGGGCGGATCGCGACGCGAGGTAGTTTAAGGTTAGCGAAACGGTTTTACAATAGTTGGTCTATGTTCGTCAAACCGTTTTCTATAAATGCGAGAGCGACATTAAGCGATTTATTTCATTTAGTTATTTCCTATGAATTTTCAAACCTAATGCATTTAATTATATTTGCACAAAATTTATTTGATTTTATTGATTATAGCCTGAACAGGGTATATTAACTTTGCCATAAAGACGAAGTTAAGTTTATTACTTGTATATCTCAATTGAATGTCTTTGAGTTCTTCCTTAACCAATTTTCAGTTAACAATTTCTTTTGAACAACCGTTCCTCTGTTGGTATCAAAATGATTGCGCATATAGTCTAACTAGATACTCATATTTTCTCCGACTATCTTGCAGTTTGTCAGCATATTTTGCGAAATTTCTGCATCATTTACTGCTTTGTGGTTACCAATGAAAATTGCGACTATCAGCATTAAATTGTATCAAGCTTCTCTTTCCTGAACAGTCAAAACTATAATAAAACTGTATCTTTGATGAATTACAATATCTGAGGACCAACAAATATCCCACCTTTCTTGGCAAATTGTTTAATCGTTCCTAAATTGATCACGTATAAAATATTTAAGTTCATTTTGAGAAAATAACTTTGGCGTAGATGTTTTAATCTATCTTTCACGTTCACTGACAGATTGTTACGATTTGGAGACATCATTGCTTTTGAGCGCATGCGAAATACTTTTGAAACGCAAAGGGAAGGGAAAAGGGTTTTTATTGAGTTAAACTGGGTATTTAGTAAACTGTAGGTTTAGATATCTGCAAGTTTGGAATGCATAATAACGGTAATTTTATTAAACCTTCAAACCTTTCGCATAATATTTCGGATATTTTCGGTAAAGAGCCTGAGAGTGGGGATCACGTGAAGCTTGTATGCGCGAAAAAAGGCCGCAGAATCCTAAACATGACTAGAAAAACAAATTTTATTATTAGCACGCCTATAATTGGTCAAAATATGGTAACATATATTTTATGCAATTAAAATTAAAATTTGCTAAGATATCCAGGGCAACAAAAAGAGATAGTTTTTTTATATAGCAGTGAATGTAATCAGCATTAGGACCTAAGTCGATTTAGCTTTGTCTGTCTATCTATTTTTCTCCTCAAAAAGCTGCTGATTTGTCGGAACCAACAATATTGGACCAGTATAGACTATAGCTAACATACAAACTAACCGATCGAACCCAAGTCTTTGTATGGAAAACTTTTTTATTTGAAAAGGTATCTTCACCAAATTTGGCACATATTATTGTCTAAGGCATCGCTACAATCTCTGAATATGTTGCTCAGGTCGGATCGCTATAGCAAATTCAAAAAAAGATCTCTATTTATGCCCTATTATACTATAAAAATGCACATGTGCAGGGTATTAATGCTTCCGTGCGGATGTAAAGTTAACGTTCATTTTTATTGATTTATTTTATTTTAGTTTAGTTTATTCATTTATTACTTAAGTGGCGTTATTTCATTGTGTTATCTTGCTTTGACTATTATCACAAAAGGAGGGCTTACTATATCTATGAATGGTAGATCATAGCAATAGAGATGGTCATTTACAATAAAAATATGTAATTGTAAGGACAGACGTAGACTTAGTACAGACTGCAATCGTGGCAATCGGCATGGTGGCGGCAATCGTAGGAGGGAGAATTTCGAGAAGCACACGACTGTCGTAATACATATAACACACGCTTTATTCATAATAATTCTTTTTATAACTAAAGGTTTTTAAATGTTGTATTATTTCAAAAAATGTATTCAAATACAATAATTTCTATTTCCAGCAGCAATATGCTATATACTTACATACATATACTAAAACCGTGCATGTGTGTGTGTCTGATTGTTGCACAAGCGAAAACGTCAATTCCTGCAATTTTATGTCATGCGATATTTTTTAACATAACAAATCAAATGCGTGAAACACGAACTGCATTTGCACACAAGTGCATGCGAAAGTCTGTACATACTTACATACATATGTATGTATGTTTGTATTTTTACCACAGAATTGAAAGTTAATAATATGAACATATAAGTAATTGCAATATTTAATTAAGAAAACATACATACTTATAAGGAAACATCCACAATGCATCAGTAATAATAGTGAATTATGGCGAGCAATTCAATAAAGGGGCTGCTGAGTATCACCTGACACCACGACAAAGATACAAATATAAATACAAGCATACAAATTTTTTATGTACATGTTTTCTTGTAAAATATAAAGTTTGAAATTTGAAAAATTTATTTATTCTTAACAAACTACAGCCGTGGCTTACTTTTATCACTATGAAGATTGTTCTTCATGTGATTACGTAACAACTTGCCAGCTCCATGCCACTTTTGTCTTCTCGCCAGCGCAAAGCACCGAGAATTGCATGTAGACAATAAAAATAATTTATTTATTTATAAATAAATGTAAAGTCAACAAATGTCTTCGCCAGACGGGTGTAGAGAAAAGTCACAAAGCACTTCACCATTCACTTCACTTGCACTAAAAGGCTGTGTATGTGTGTGTGTGTACAGGCATACATACGAATCTATAGAAGGCTCATAACGAAGCGTGGAAGCGCTAAGGCTAACACCACTGCATTTCTTTAGTTTCAATTTTATTTAAATTTTACCTATATGGACTATAATTAATTATAGTCATTAGCACAAAATATTTATCAATAAAATTAAAATATGAAAAAACTGGAGAAACAAATATAAAAGTTTACTTCATATTTATTTATTCAAGTTTTTCAAACACTCGATTCACTTACCCTGATGTTGGTCATTGTTGTTGTAATTGTTATATACACGTAAAGCTTTGAAAATACAACGAAAATTACAAATTCAGCAAAAAAAAATTGCAAAAAAATGCTGCCGTCAGTCTGGCTAACCAGACACCAGTTTAAAGGGGTTGTTTCTATTTGCTGAATATCCGTTTTGTGTCCAACGGACTGGAATCATGCGGCAATGCAAATGCACTTCGAAAGACTTTCGAACGACGAAATGAATGAGCTCCAGTAGAGATAGCAGATGATGCGAATCGGTGAAGAGCAAAACTTCAACTGAAATTCAGAATCCCACGTAGCGGCTGCAGGAGTCGTTGCGGACTGGCTGGTTGGCCGCTGTAGCTGTCGAAGCAAATGGAAGGCGGCGGTTGGAGAACGCAACAAGTATGTATGTAAATAAAATATTTTTTAACTTATTAAGGCAACAGCGTCAAGAACTAGACCGCCAGCGCACAAGCCATCGTCGGCAGCAACAACAACAATAGTCATAACAAATTATAATTAAAGTGTAAAAATAAAAGCAATAATAACAAGAAAAACACAAAGTAAACACAACAACAACAAATATAAACCACTGAAGTTATAGCAACACCAGCAATAGCTATCTGATAACAGGCCGCAGTCATACATACATACATATATAAAAAACTCGCTCAATAAGAGCTAACCGGCTTGCTATTGTCAATTATTAGCTACGTGCGCTACAGTTGACCAAGTCGAATAACATAAAGTATACATATTGTACATAGGTACCTAAGCTATAAGTTTTTAATTTGATTTTAGCTCTGGTATTTTCACTGGTGAGTAACGCTTATCTTAAACTATACCAGATGCTCAAACAAACGGGCAGCACTAGTGGTGCAACCTGCGCTAAAATGTCTTCTGATGTCTTTTATAGTAAAAAAATTTGGAGATCAAAACTGCAATCGCCTGAGTTTATACTGATTATAGTATATTGTTGGTGCCCACAAAAAAGGGTCAGTCGCGAAACAGCAGAGATAGAGCTCAATTAGGATATTTTAGCTGTCTTCGTTTCGCCATTTCTTTGCTAGTTAACTTTGGGCACTGCTCTTTTGTCAAAAAAAAAAATAAATGTAAATGCAACAAACAAATTTATCGAGTTGTGGTGCACCGCGTTTTTTTTGACGCGAAAAGAAGAATTTCTCCACCATTCGTCAGAAGACATGTTAACGCAGGGTTGCACAGCAAGTGCTGTCCGTTCAAATCGAAAACAACTTTTAGTCAGTTGTTAAAATAATCGCAACTAACATCGCCAAGGGTGTTATGCAGTCGACTATTTCCAACATTTAAATGCAATGTTTATCGAAATAAAAAGCGGCGCGTGTGAGTTTATTAACACTCTCTTTTAGGTTGGTTTAAAAAACACGGGCCCAACAACAAGTAAAACGAGTGCGAGTATACTAATGCTATTGTCATAAAGTTGTTCATAAATACTTAAATGTTGTTATTGTAGACATGCTTAAGAAGCAAGCTCTAGCGGTGAGCATTGGTCACGTAGCCGTATTGAAAAATCTTCTGGAGCATTTTAAGTATCATTTTCTACTTTAGGACAACACGTGTGAAATCGAATTTTATATATTTTTTCTTCATTTGGGTCTAAGACTATGTACAAATGTATTTATGCCAATTACATCAAATGCCCGCAATTTTGCTGTTTTGATAATTAATCACAATGTTTTTTGTTTACCAAAACATGTGTAAAAATTTCGGAAAATTATTTTATATCAAATACATCGATACACATGTATTTATCTATACAAGACTGTACATACATATGTACTATATGTATGTACATAAGTATTTCAGGTCAGGTATGATCAAATTTAAAATAGCCCAAAACGTAATCGATATTTTTTTTCCATTTAAAAACCCCTAAAAGGAGAAATTTACGGTTTTTATTGGATACGCAATTTCTTTTCGTTTATTTGCCAGTTTTCAATTGTTTTGGCAATTTTCTCCTCAGTGCTAATCAGTAAATATTTACAGTATGTATGTATATGTGTGTGTGTGCGATTTTCTTATCGAGCAACTAAAAATTATTTGGTGGAGCTGTGTTTTGGCCCCTCTTCTTAGCTGCCACACGACAGGCCTGTGAATTGGACGCCACGGACGTTATCGTGACGATGATAAGCATTTTAAGAGAAGAATTTAATTTTAAATTTTCAACAAATTTGTTGTTGTGATTTTTATAGCATATGTGTAAATTACTGAATGCGTGTGTGAATATTTATAGCGATTTTATAGCCGACTTATCAGTTCGAATTCCCTTGGCATCAAGCGCGCGGGAGAGCGAATGAGTGAGTGTTTCGGAATGAGTTTGAAAGGAGTGAGACCTATTCATTGACTAAGTGAGCGAATGAACGGTGTTTGTAGTACAGTGAGGTCGCAAAATGTTTGTACATCTCTTTCAAATAATTCATATTTTAGACCTATCGTAATTGAAAGATAGATTTTATGAGATCTTTTTAATTAATTATTTAATTATTGATATAGTTGGAACGACTTCAATTTTAGTGAAAAATAATGTCAGAACGACACAGGTTTTGGGTCGGTTCTACATGAGATAAATAATATACATTGCTGCAAAGAAGTTCTTCAACTTTATTGATTAAGCTCCTCTGAGATAACTATTGCGCCTATTCGTTTAAAATTTTGAACACTATTCTGTACACGCTGGAGATTTATTTTCAAATGTTTTGACAATTTTTAGAATAGCAAATTGTCCGATTTTCTCGATCGCGTTTTTCCCCTTCAAAATATTAAAAATAAAGAAACATAATTAACTTTCGAAAAACGCTCTGGGCGTTACCTCGGGAAACTATTCCCTAACGAATAAATGTTGAATTTTTAATTGCAGTAGCAAGGGGCATCTTTGGGCTAAAAATTTCAAAAAAAATGGGCGTGACCCCGCCCTCTAAGAGGTGTAATGTACATATATCTTCCAAACGATTCAAGCTAAAATATCTAAATTCGCTCAGGATAAATCCCTTATGCGCCCCTACCGACACTGTAAAAATGGAATAAATCGAATGATAACCCCACCCACTCCCCATATCATGGCACAGTTAAAAACTACTAAAAGCGCGATAAATCAATAACTAAACACGCCAGAGACATTAAATTTTACCCCCAAAATGGCATTGGAGGGCTTTATAGAAGCCGTGGTCAAAATTGGACGATGAGCACGGCTCCGCTCAATTTTAGATGAAATCACATATCTCGGGACCTGCAAGACCAAATTCGATATATAAGATTCTTCTCACATACCTATGTTACAGTGCAAAAATGAGCAAATCTAGTATGCAAATAAAGCAAAAATTAATGTATCGGGATAAAAATTTGCCAAAAGTACCAAAAGTATTTTAAAGTATATCGAATATGTGAGCCCCAGTACCTATAGTTCACTTTTTAATGATAATATCGATAAATGTGTGATATATATAAATTTCAGAGAATATCCTTTCCTGATAATAGTATGCCTGAAAGTCAAAAATGGGATGAATGGTGTCAATACTTTTCTTAGCCCCCAACTAGTATCAGAATTTTCGAACAGCCGGCTGACTTTACTCCATAAAGAATGGTGATGGTATGTGAGGCACCTGAATGAAACCCTGGAAGCATTTTTATTAGTCTGTGGCATGTTAGTAGTATATGGTATTGTCAAAAATGGATAAAATCGGATCAATACTATCCCTAAATCTCATATATAACACATAATTATTTTCGTTTTTCTAACAATTTTTATGGCGAGTACGCCGTTTAGTATATAAGTTATGTATTTAAAAAATGCTTGAAAATATGTTCTCAAGTACACCAGAACAATGTCCAAATTAATGCAATCAGCCTGTCCCTTTCTCTGCCCCGAATGTACTCCATATAATGATTTCCGTCTTTCGACTTGAATTTAAACCGTTTAGGTTGATCAAAATGTTATATATTTTTTAAGTTATGTGGGTTAGCGCTGAATTAGAATGGAATTGGTCTAAACTTTAGTCTAAACCTCATATCCCTAATATAATGAATTCCGACCCTCTGGTTGACGTTTTGCACTTCAAAGTAAATTTAGCTTTTCCGGTCGAGTTAATATCTGAATTTATTTTTAATATAATTTTAGATGACTCGAACTAAAAAAAAATGAAACTGATTCTAAATTAATGATCTTCAATATAAGTCAAGAAAATACTAAATTTGTTGGTCTGTTCGTCTGGGCACTTGAGTAAAATTTAAGATATCTTGACGAAACTTGGTACACATGTTCCTTAGCGAAAAAGTAAGGACGTATTAGAGATGGGCGTAATCGGAATCGTATAAAGTGCCATAACTAAGCCGTAAATTAAGATACAGAACTCATATTTGGCACATCGATCTCCTTTGAGAAGTGGCAACTGTTGTTTGAAAACCTTTGAAAAGTGGGTGTGGCCCCGCTCCTAATAAGTTTAGTATATATATTCTAAACCAATAAGGCTATATCACTAGCATTTGTACAGGTAAAATTTTTTCAATCCTTCTTGCGATAGTGTAAAAATAGGTAAAATCAGATGATAACCTCACTCACTATCCATATAACGGTTTTGTTAAAAACTACTAAAAGGGTGATAATTCTTTAACTAAATGCGTTGAGACATTAAATTTTACATCCGAGATGACGCAAGAGGACTTTATAGGATCCGGTGTCAAAATTGGACGATGGGCGTGCACTGCCCACTTTTAGGGTAAATCACATATCTCGAGACTTGCTCGACCCATTTTAATCACATTCGGTACATTATATTATTTTAATATTCCTATGTTACAGTGCGAAAATGGAGAAAATTGGGCTATAACCACGCCTACTTCCCATATAACACAATTTTAAATTCCATCTGATTCTTTCACATACGTCGAAAATTGATTGAACATATACATACATATATTGGTGATGGTATGAGAGGTACCTTAATGAATGTAAGTAATAAGATACAAAGGTGATTGTAATCCATTCACGATTTCGTGGAATAATTAATGTTGAACTCTTTTGCAACATTTAATCTAAAGCTTCCACAACACCTGAAGGTATTTATCCGGCTTTGATCTTTGTAAGTTGCGGGAGTATGAAATGTTCGGTTACATCCAAACTTAGCCCTTCCTTCCTGTTTTATTTGTTTCTTTTTGCTGCCATTGCCGTATTTTTTCTCATTCTTCGAACGTCATGCTTTAATTTATCCTGAAATTTCATAAAGAGATTTTAACTCCTTCGTCACAAAAAATTCAGAAAAACTTGTGTTCTTTTGCACGAGTTTGGGAAGTATTTTTAAAATATTGTGATGATATACGTACGTACCAACACTAGTTTTGAAATCTTCTCTTTTTTATATTATTTTATAAGCTATTGTATTCTATTCAATCCGTTATTCACATATGTGCGGGTCTAACTCTTATCCAATGTATGAACCTCTTCGAACCGACAACACATATCCTTTTGAATATCGGAAATGTTCCACTTTCGTGGAAAGGATATCGCATGCAATAACTTACACAATGTTTAAAAGCAAATGACACATTGAGAACTCATTAATTATGTAAAGCACCGATATTGAATAGAAACCACAATATTCTAACTTGACGTATATAAAAGATGTTTTTCCAGCCACGTGGTTTTCAAGAAGAAAAAAAAACATAATTAACATTATAAAGATAAGGGTTTTAAAAAATATTTCGGGCAAGTGACCGCCAGAGCTGGCTCGACTAAATTGCAGCCGTGAGGCCCAATTTTAGATAAATTCTTGCAGGAATTTGGGGCCGTACGTCAGCAATGACTGCCTATAGAGCACACACAGCAGTTACTTTTTAAGGTTGTAACGGCGTTTTAACATTGGTTTTTTGGTTTAACAATTTTGTTTATTAACGTACCCATTGAACCAAAAAGGAGCTTAATCGCTTAACAAAATTTTCTTGTGAAAATCGGGATCGGTGGCCATCTCGTTTTTGCGCCCACTCGTCCAACAACTTCAAATCTTCGGCTTTAAATTTTGCACGAGTTGGAATTCGAATTACCGACTCTGATGGGCATTTATGTCGACAGAATAATGGTGGCGAAAGCAACCATTACATTACAACTTAAAAGTTAGTTTGTTCACGAAAATAATAGTGCCTATTTTGTTGAAAATGCTTTTCGATTGACTATATTAGTATTAGTGGTTGTAAAGCCTTTATTCTTTAATACACTGACGTTGCAGAGAGTTTATTATATCCTTACAACGCTTCATACGGATTTGAGTCCATGCCTCCTTGACCTTAATCGAACCGATTGCATTCAAGTCCAGTGTCTGCGCTAGCTGGGAATTTACGTCGATCTTTTCCGATGAAGTGATTTACTCCTTATTACTCATATGCTCAAACATCCTTTCCAGCTGGCGAGTGGTAACATAATATCCTTCAGTAGGTTTACATACACTGTTAGGACCATGATGCCATAGATTAAATGCATAGGACCGACATCATGGTACGAAAAGCAAGCCCATACCATAATTCACATGGTGGCCCATGTTTAAAAGTTTTAGTACCTGGAAAATTAATTGTGTTTAGTAGTAAACGACAAAAGAGGTATTTTCCGGGGACTTTTTAGTTTCAAGTTGTTTTCAAATATTCTCCTACAATTTATAAGAGTAGTAACCGACAAAATTAAATATTTTTTTTATCACTTTTGAGGATGCTTAGGTCTTGTGTTTTATATATCGTATAATTTTTCTGCCCTATAATTTTGGGATTTCTACATTTTACTCCAATTTTTCGTTCTTTCATTGTATTTAATACCATTGCATATCATTGTGAAGTTATACCTCTTTATAGCTTCGATTCCATATAGGTTCCGTCTGGTTCCCTTGGCTTCATTACACGTTCCTCGATAGAACCATATCATCTTCTACTCACTGAAAAGAGAAGAGCACTGGGATTTCAAAATCTTTGATCAGAAAATTATTAAATCTCTTAAATACACTTATTTATCGCAACTATCTAATCTTTTTTTTTTAATTTACCGACCCCAAACGACAACCACTACTAGTTTACTTCATAGATAAACCAGTGGAAGCAAAAGTAACGGGATTGTTTTGGCTTCATCAGGCTTCTTGATTTGGCCAGTCAATATATTATATTTTATGAGAGCTCTTTAAAGATAAGAACATGTTGCACTACTATGTTCATGAATAAACTATATATATGTATATATTGTATATACTACATATTACAATATGTGTTTCCTGAGTACTTTCACCTATCAAATTATCTTTATTTATTAGTAATAATTTACATGCGTCCTACTTAATTTATATTTAAACTTAGACAAAATAAAACATTATTTAATTAATACTCGCATTATTGCTCCAGATGTATGTAGTCCGCATGACATTCGCCATCATATTCGTAGTGATAGCCTTTCTTTCGACAAGCGCACATATTCGGTAGAAAGCAAAAACCATATCTACCACAGTTTCTGAAATGACATTAGAGGAATCTGTTATATTTGATGTAAATAAATACACTTAGCGATAACAGAAAATAAAATGATCAATGGACTTCTTATGCGGAACATTTACGAACTGATCTGATCTAATACATAGCATCTGACCAAAATTGATGCAAATAGATTCATTAAAAAAGTCAAACTGGTTATATGTAGATGTGAAGTTTGATTGTTAAATGTTTGATGCCAAAGAAATCGTTTTTTTTTTTAATTTTGTGTTTTTCAATAAGCGGTTGAGAAGTATACGCCCGCCATCATAAAATTGCCGGTTAGAGTTTAAGTGAGTGCACATTTTACTTATAGACTCAGCTCATTCTTATGCTATCTTAGTTATGATACGTATTACCGCCAAACGTGTATTACCGCCAAACGTGTATTAATGGACTTGAAATTATAGAACACAGAAAATTGAGTACAGGTTATAAGTTCATGCTTTCAGATGGAACACAAACAAATTTTACAATTTACTGGAATATTTTAATGCTTTTGAAACTCAAGTCTTTGTCCGAGGTCTTTTCATAGGTATTCGTTTGACTATTTTATTAGACCGTTTTCGTAACCAAGGATATCGACGTCTTACAGATCTGAAGAACATCTACAAAAGCTTTCCTTATTGAAATATTGTTTATTTATCGCATAAAAGTGAAAAGTGTGTGACACATGTTTCGCACTCGCCCCACATATATCAACCAAAAGGTTTATTTGGGGCTAATAGAAATTGGATTTTCTCCAGTCAACAAACCAGTTAATAGTAATGGCCCAAGAGGATAGTTTCTACAGTACATGGCTATTAACTCTTCGAAAAATCGTCTTTGACTGGCTGTCGTCCATTTAAAATATCGAAACTCATAGTTGAATGAATTTCTACATTATATTTGCCTTAATTATTTTTATAATTGAACTCTAGCAGATGTTCCATTGCCATTTGATCGTTGTGAGAAGACTCTTTTTCCATGAACCATGAACTCTGTTGGGGACAGCTTTATTTTTTTTAAAGATAGTCACTTAATTAGTAGTAGAAGTCAAAGCCCTATGAATTATCCCGAGGAACTCATCCCATCAGGAGAATATCCTATCAATTCGATAAGGTTTCTACTTACTGTATGCACACGGGAGCGCACAGTTGGCCGAACAGAGTGTCTTGGGAGATATATCCTTGTGCACAGGTGCACTCTCCATTTGTGTTACAATTTCCATACAAGCACCGCCTAAAAGTGAAATGTATGATATTAAATAGGATAGGATAGATATTACGAATCCATAAGTACAACACACACTCACCCGAAACAACGATCACTCAAGCTATGGTATATGCGGCAACGGCGCGCCACCACATCAAAATAATAGCCCTCCTGACTACAGAGACACAGATCGGGCGCTGCACAGAAGCCTCCAGCACTATGGCAGCCTGGTAGACACTCGGCGGCGCACACCAGCTCTTCCTTTTCGAACGAGGTTTGATAGTTGTCGGCGCACGGGCAAACGCCATCCTCAAAGCAGCTGCCATTTGAGCAACGGATCGGACAGCGAGAAACGCAGTAACGCGTGTTGATAATCAGCATCTCATAGTCGGAGCAGGGCGTCTTCGATGGGCGCCAGTGGAGTGAACGCAGAGAATTCAGTGGATGTTGCGACGCAGCAGGAGTTGGTATGATAGCAAAGAAGACATACAGCAACGAAACGAAAATGGTCGACATGTTGTACTGAGTTGATATGAATTCCGCGGTAAGCCACGGCCACAGATGGAATGAGGCTGCGCAGAACTCCCTTCTTAGATGCAGCGCGTGCGATTAAGAAGCGGATCATTGGTAGTGAAAGTGCCAAGCTGTGTACTTAAGTGATTTGCGCACACGCACTAGCAATTGCATTACATTACTCAATATTTGATTATACTCACGGTAGTTATGAAGTAATCGACAGCGTGTTGATAAAATCTCCGGCAAAAACTAAAGCAAATACATACATCATATATTTATGTATAAACAAGATCAAAAAGCGCTGATGATTCAACGAAAGTGAATTAAAAATACCACTGCAAGTATACACACATACATGGGTACAAATATAAGTATATAAGTGTTTATAAATGAAGTAATCGATAGCGAGATAATATTGAATGGATTGATCGAAAGTGTGAAAACATCAAATTGAGTACAAGAAATTGCCATCCCAACAAGAACAGTGACAGAAATCTGACTGGTAATATGACAGTCACAGCTGAAATTCTATCAGCGCGCAGAACAAAGTTTCTATTATTTTCTTAAGAGCCTTGTGCAAAAACTGATGTAAATAAACGTATGTGTGTGAGTTTGCATCTCTCTTTAACACATGGGCATTCGGAATTGATTCACTATATATCTATACTACTTACTTTCATGTCTTTTTCTGAGTCATTGCTGACCATAAATCCATCATAGCTGAAAATTGTCAGTTATGACTGAAACACTATCATAGCTGTAATTTTGCTGTAAATGTAGCACAAGTGAAAAATTCTTTTACGCAGTAGATAATATAATTTTTATTTCTTTAATAAATTCAACATATAATTAAAATTGGTTATAATAATATACATATACATATATAAAAATGGAGTGCAACAAAAATATAATTTTATGAATATTTCGGAATTTTAAAATGCCTAAATAAAAATGAAAATTAACTAAAAATATAATTATATTTTAAACTTAATAATAACTTACGTATAATATATTTGAAAACTTCTTCGTTATTTATTTATTTTTAATAAAACAAAAATTGTTATTGCACAGAAGCACCCAACACTTTTGGATTATCGCACGGAATAACAACTACATAAGTATTTCACAACTTCTCGAAACTTCTATGTAAATGTGTGCCGTCTCTTTTCGACGTTTACAGAATTTGCTTTTGAAAAAATCTAATGACATTGACAGTCATTTTAATGTTCATATGACTGTCAGTACTGACATAGCAAATATGAGTGTATTGGTGAACCCATCAGCAGTTTCTTATAGGGATGGCAATGGGTGTAAGATAACATATTACCACATACATAAATAAATACCATATATGCATAGCGAACACGGTTTATATGCGACTTGAATGTTTAACCCATTACTTATATGTTAAGTACACAGGGAAGGTGCTAAGAGCGGAACGGAAATTATAATGCTGTCAAGCCGCATTCTGTACTCTCAAAGAGCCTTGAATGACTAGAATACTCGAAGCAAAACAAAGAACAGGTAAAAATCGAAGCAAACAAATCAGTGAATCAGACGTAGCCCCAGCCGAAGCCGCAACCACAGAATGAATACCAAACGTATGTATTTATATACATACTTATATAAGTAGATGCATATATAATATATGTATATATGTTGGTTTTTCTAAGCAAAGTTTACATACGCGTGGAAGCAATAAGTATAAAAGTCATAGGCGTCGTACGCAATGGCAAGCTAGGGGATGAGTAGGCTTCTTATGAATATCTCGAGATGATATTCTTTCCATGTCGATTAATATTTGCCATTGATGCCTTCTTGGTGCAGTATTTAAGCAATATCGTGCAAACCTCTTCTTATATCCCATCATTTTAATTGGTCTTGCAATAGCTAACTCAAAAGTGAAAAAACATATCCAAGCAAAACTAAACACGGTTAATATCCTCGATAAAAGAGGGACCGTTTCAAAATGGATGAAACCATTTCGTATTATATATTACCCTAGCTCCCACTTGTATATGCATATTAATGTGATAATTTCGATCGTTTCGGTTAACTTTATACTAATTGTTTTGATATCTCTCATTAAATGACTTTCTTTGGCAAATTTATTAGTAAAATTATCTCATGATACTTTACTTAGTACACTGGGACTTGTAACCTAATACGAGGTGTGTTCAAAAAATTATGGGAATTTGCATTAAAAAAAATATTTATTCATTCGTCTACATTAATGTTGTCGCCTTCAAAATAGTCCCCTTCCGATATTATGCACTTATGACAGCGCTTCTTCCAATCGTCGAAACACTTTCAGATTTTTGGGATAGCTTTTCTTTCAGCGATTTTCATCTATCTTGTAAAACGACGACTTTTAAGGTTTAAGGTAAAGACACCGTGTCCTGGCGAATATGGAGGCTGAGGCATCGTTACAATAATGTTTTTGGCCAAAAATCATTAATTTCGTTTCACCAAGCTCATAAAAACACGTCTTATCTTAGCGGTTGCTACAGACAAAGTAAGCAATGAAAACTGCTGAAAACCTTATCGTACTTTAGGCGCATGCACATACTTATTTCAACATAATAAAAAAAATTTGACAATTGGACTCTCCAAACCCGCGAAATTTTAAGATTCCCGTTATTTTCCGAACACACCTCGTACAGATGAAATTGTTCACAACGCAATGTATCTAATAAAGTAAATATAACTTTTTTAGGATATCTCAGTGGAATCAATTTACTACTTTTTATATAATTTCTTCTCTTCCTTTCTTCTTCACCTTATTTCAATCCAATAATTGCTTGAAACCACATCACAATAAAAATTGTGCAAAATACCCCTCTTCAACTTTTTTAGCCCATACGCTACAGTTACCTACTCATGACTTTTGGTAGTTGGTATCATTCGCGAAAATTAGGAGTCGCACCGTCTTTTAATAGTGCCAAATACAAATACGTGTAGCGTTCCATCACAATTGTATGCATCTGAATTTAATTATTAGCCAACTATTCTAGACTTTTTGGTGCTGATGTGGTACCCAAGGAAACGCTCGTAATTAAAATGAAATAAAATATTGTAGACAACCAAGTGTATGCAGTAGAAAACAAAGTAAAATGACTTTACAATGCAAATAGAGCAATGCATCGATTCGCTACGCTGGAGTTTCCTCACCTGGTTCGATTAACACTAACCACCGGTTTTGTCGATCAATTTTGGGCTTAGGAGGAGTAAGCGCAACGGTGGCATAGTAAGCAGCTGTTGAAGCGAATATTCGAACATATGTGCCTGTGAGTTATCATGTGGGACAACACCCCGATAGCTAAGCATACAGCTCACTAGCCGGTTAGCGAAACAAGCCACCAGGAAACACACATGCCTGTTGTTCGGATGAGAGATATGTATGTTGTTGTAGTAATATAGTTTAAAAAAGCGCGTATACGTCCTCTCGAGCCACCCGCTAACGCATTACCTTTGCACAGTGACCGGCACTCAGAAACCGATCGAACATTGAAGCAGTCAAGCTCCAAAGAAAACAGTGATTATGAGTTCAGCGGGTGAGTAAAATGCGGGGAATTGCTGGAATTACATATTAATTTTTTGTGCATTGCTCATTCAAATTTCGGTCAAAGTTAGTCAAGGAGTGTTTAAACTCACTAGATATGGATATGTAGTAGCTACGTTATTATCAGATTCGACGCGAAGTCAAACAAAATGTTGAGCAACTCTCATATTTTTACGCTTTCCAAAGCAACAGTCGCTATTTTTTACTAGAGAGAAACACTGAAAGCAAAGCGTTCATTATGGCATACCCTTTGGTTTCTTCGCTTCGTTGTTTCAGTATGAACTGTCACGCAAAGCGAGAAAAGTTGTACTTGAATGGCCCTTTACCCCGCTCACATCGAAATGGGAACAAGTTGGATTCCCCTTGTCATCTTGCGTCCTAGCACTGGACCTATGGACCTCGAGTGTACTAAGCATGTGTTGGCCGACGACCAGCCTCTGCGAGATCTTTCTGGTCTAGAGTAGAACGTAGGAGATCTACTGAACCACTTGCCCTTAGCAAAATTCTTCTTACCGCCATAGTTGAAATTCTGGACATTGTTCAATAGAAATTCATGCTTTAAAGCTAAAAATCTTGTCGGACGCAAAATTGTCAAAGTTTTATGGAAGAACATGGGATGGAAATATCCAGGCACTTTCTCTTCTATTATTAAGTTTTTGAAAGACTAAATTTGAAACATCACGTCACTGATACCTTCGGCCAACCAGGGTATACAGCGAAACTGTTATTAGCCGCCTCAACAAATATGTGATCGGCTCAAAGCGCTTCGTCGAATCATTAGGGTATTTAAGAACAATATTATGGGAGTTCTAGGTACCACAACGGACCAACGCTATAAGCTTTACAAGGATCGACCATTTAACCTAACCTTACCCAGTTAGATAGTATAAAGTTAGCAGCTGAGCTAGTTTCGAATACAAAAAAAAATATTATAAAGAAAAGTCTGATTATACCAGAATCATAATCTAATAATAATTCTGGATATTTTTTCAGCAAACGTTTCGGTAAAATTTAATTGTGAGTACATATGTACTTAAATGAATATTTTTGTATGTCTATACGGCAACACTGCTTCTATCTGTTGCGAGCGATGACGTTGTCGACGGGGTGGTTGGTGGCAGACCGGCTCTTATGTTCTGCCGCATGAAAGTTCGCTGCCACTCCGGTGCCCCCACCAGCGATTCGACATTGCGTGTATTGACGATGCGCCACCAAAAGGCGAGCAATTTCAGTCAACTCTTAGCGCTCAATGTGGCAGCAACAACTTTGTTGAGCTTTCCGTTCTCTACGCTTCGGTCGAAATCGTCGATCCAATACAAAAACGAAGTTTCGCGTTGGCATTGCTTTTATTTTGTTGTCTTTTCGTAAATCTTTATACTGTTGAATGTGTTCTATTGTGTTGTGCTGGGGGATCTGGCGGATTCACTTTTTTGTATGTAGTTTGGAGCAGCAAGATTTGCTCCAAATTGCGCGATCAGTTGCCACTGTTCGTTAGTGTTGCAAAGGCGTAAAGTTGAAAACAAAAAACATAAAACAAGTACGAATTTCCCAAATAAAAAAGAAACAAAAAAAAATCCGTGAAAACAAAAGAAACGATAGGAGTGACAGAGTCGGTGTTAAGAAGCGTTGCTGTACGAACAAGCAAAAATATTTCAAATTTTTGTTTTTTTATGTAAAAAATACTACCTAAGTCTCAATACTAACGGACATACATACATATTTGAGGGTACATCCATAAAAGAAAATATCCAACTTATAAAGTGGTGTAATTGAAAATATATTGTTTATATTTATCGGGAATATATTTTGGTTAGTTTTTTAAACTTTTATGTCAAGTCTATTATGAAAATAACTCTACCCAAAGCTTAACTTTCGATTACCTGAGAATCAAGAAATCAGCTATAGTTAAGGGAGACAGTACTACTCTAAACGATGACAATGCCGAATTCATATACATTGATCTTCGTCAAGTGTGTTCCAATCGACTTCATTTAAGACAAAAAAAATTAAAAACCCTACTCACCCCTTAATCACAATGATGCACAAGCAATTTCGTTAGGAAAAAGACTCCCTGTTGGTGGTTCCATACAATTATTATCGATTTCTAACAAATAATTTAGATTTTTTTCGACCGGAGTAGATTGCAATAGATATTTTTTCAAATTTTCACAATAAGATACAAGTCTTAGCAAATATCCGTCATATAAAAAACATACAAATATTCATTTGTTCGATTAACTTTCTATTAAATTACTCAAACAATATGAAAATATATTTTAATAATATTCACAAGTTCTGCAGAACTTCAAGATATTCGGAATCAAAAATAGTTTAAGTAATCAACTAGCGTTCGCCTCTTGGAATACTTCTAAACTAACGGAAGTACCTAATGTTTGGTTCCGCGAAAACTTAGCCATCCCTTACTTGGCTACGTGCCATCATATGATCCGCATGGATATTTGCCTGCTTTTCGATTATAAATTTCGTTACTTCATTTTATTTGTTTCCATATTTGTCATACTACTGTTCCTGTATTTTATTGGTTTAATTTTATTGTATTTATTCGTATTATTTTTTTTGAGTATGCTTTATTCGCCATATTAATGTGGTAAGTAACAATGAATTCAACTGTCCGTCCGTCGACTCTGTGATGCACACGCATTCATATGCACATATGCCATGCATACTTGCACACACACTTCATTTTATTTACTCCCCGTTTGGTTTATTCGGTTTGTTTAGTGTTTGGCAGTCAACGAGCGTCGACGACAGCGTCAGCATAAACAGCCGCACCCCAAAAACTAACTATCAACCTAGACGCACATTCCACTTTAATTGCCACAGCACTCTTTTCGTGTCCACAAGTAATGTGCGATGCACACTGTAATATTCGTCGTCGCCGCCACCCGCGCCGGTTGGTGTGCGGCAATTGGAGTTTGGCGACCTCGAAAGCTTCAAACATCCAGCCATCCATACAGGCAACGCGCCGTTTGACTTTAGTGAATACAAAATTGGGCGATATCGGATTTGTTGTTGTTAATTATAATAATTATGTTATGATTACTTTGTTGTACATTTTGAATGAATGCTTATCGCAGAAAACAAAAAAAAAACAAAAATTTAATCTCAGACACCGCTCTATTCTAATTTTTAATTAAAACATACGTATCAGCCAGCCAACGAATAACAACAAAACCACTGAAATTGTTTTGTAACAACAATACGATGCATGTAAAACAACTGTTGACGAAGCGCTGGCGGCCGACGTGCACACGCCTCCTGTTTTATCATTAGTGATGTGGTGCACGGATGTTGGCAAGATTATTCGAAACTCTAAACAAATTAAATCTTATCGAGTGAGCTCCAGCAGCTAAAACGTTAGGCAGGTTCTTCTTTGTAAGCCCAGTCAACCAGCTTGTTTACAAAGTGGTTGACTGCTGCAGCTTTTCTTAAGTTCTCTTTACCACCGACGGGAAGCACAGTGTTATGAAGCAGCCACATACTTTAAAAAGAGAGAACTATTTAGTAGAAGTTTTTGTGCAAGACACATGATATTGTCCACTTTGAACCACTAATGGGTTTTAATATCAGGTCGTAAATACAGTCTTAGGTGATCAATATTCAATGAAATCACCGAAACCAGATCCTTAAGTAATAAATTCTCCAAAATGTGGGTTCTGCCGTTGTAGCAAATTTAAATTTAATACTGATAAAGTTGCAATAGATAAACTTATCTCCAAAATATACTCAATGGGAGTTTTCGGCGAGTGCAAGCTCTACCGTTAGTTTATTTGTATTTCTTTTTTAGCTTGTTCAAAAATGGATTTGAGAATATATCATCACGAAATTTGGTATGGGTTATTACCCAAGACAAATCGACAATTTCCGGACATATTTTTTATATCTAACCACTATAATATATATAATATGTAGCTGCCATACATACCGACTGATCAATATCAACTTCGGGTAAGGAAACGTGTTTATGGTATTATAGCTACAATGCAACTAAATTTGACGTTTCTTCTTGTTTTTTTATTCCAAAAATTACATTGCAATTTTAAGATTTTGCACACTGTGCGACAATACAAGTGCCAGCGTACTGGCCATGGAACCGCCTGCACACACTCACAAATTTCTGTTGAAGTTCAGCCTACACGTGGGAGTGTAGTATGTTGTTAAGTTAGATGAGCATATGCTGTGCTGCTAGAACGACTGTGTCTGTTGCAATTTGTTTATAGCTTCCGCGTTGGGAGTCATCATCACCATCATTACAAATACAATAGTCGTGGGGCAAAAAATATATTAAAAGGCAACAGAAAATTTAGAATAAAACATTAAACACAAGACCGCGTATGTATGTATGTAAGTCGATATGTTATGTGCAAAGATACTACAGCGCTAGAAGCTCTCACTATGCTCAGTGGGCGGAAGTGGATGGCAAAAGCTGTTTGGCGCCCCAAACAATTACACTGTTTTTATTTGTGTTTTAATTAATTGTGCCGTTAATTGTCGGCTTAATGCGCCGAGCATGTTTAGAACAAATACTTCGCGCCACACCAACTGAAATATCAAATGGAAATCACACTGTCAGCCGCTTGTTTATTACATTTGAATTAGTTTCGCGCTACCGGCGCGTCAAAAGCTTTAAATTACCTCAAACAGCTATAATTTCATACTCGGCATGTATGGCTGTGTATCTGGCATATTTCACCCAAAGAGCGTTCAGCGGTTTCCCCCCAGCACACCTTTTACATGCCCTTGCCCTTTCTAGCTAATTTGAAATCATTTACAGGTCAATGTGCCTCACGCGGTTGCACTCGTAAGCTATGTATGTATGTATATACATTATATACTCGTACTTATATATGTGTCTCTTTTATACTGTTGTAAAAAAAGCTGGACATACATACATACATATTAGATTTGCTGGCATGAATGAAGGTGTGCCCTTAGTGATGGATATGCAAATTCGCCAGTCGGTAGACTTTAGGCGTAACGATAACAAAATTACATACATACATACATACATATGTAGTAAGTGATTCAATAGATAGATTATGGTAACTGTAATTGAAGACATCGAATACTAATTTAGCGGAAATTACTTTTAAAAGCATGATTAGAAAATTAACGTCAACAAAAATTCATATGTATGTATGGATTCGATGACGTGGTACATACACACATATATAGAGTTGCTGTCAAAATACTAGGAGTGGGTCGACATTAATAGCAAATTTTACCTTGAAAAATTATAATTCAACTGAAAATAATCTCCGATTTATGCTTTTGAAACAAGATAGAATCGATCAAACTAATACGGATACTGAGATTTTATTTAAATACTTATTAAATAAAAGCCAACAGAGGTCATATAAAGACAAAAAAAATGTAATTTACAATATTTAATATTTCGTTGTGTGGATAGGAGCCAGTAAAATTGTTTCTGCCTCTTTCAGGCAGCCACTATATCTACTGCTTCTATGCTTCTACGGACATTCTCTGACGCAATGCGATATAAGGTTATTGCTTTAATTGCCGCTTGGCTGTCGTTTCAACTCCATCAGCCAATTTTTATAAATCGATTAAAAGTTCAGCTGGTGGGTCGTGTGCCCCTGAGCCATCCACCCTCTTTTAACTATAATATAATTATCGACACGGCTAACCGATATCTCGTTTTTTTACTTAATTTTACTTTTCTATAAAATAATATGTATACTTTTATATAATATTTCATAATGATATATTATATTAGGTATAATTCTATCAAATCCTCCTACTAATCTTACCACAGCTGTACTCGTACATATTTACTTTTTTTCACAAAATAAGTAAATCCAACACACTAAAATCATATTTGTATTTGGATTGACCCATATTGTATAGCATTTTGTTACTACAAAATGTGTCTGGAACCAACAGACAGTGACGTCATTTTCAGCCGATCACTGATAGCCAATGTGCAGCGATTTTCATTTTGCTCTTTGCTGCATTGTTATTGTTCTGTACAAATGAGTTTTTGTTTTGCATTGAATTTGCTTACTCACAAGCAATGTATATATTACATATATATGTGGATCTTTATACATAAGTACATAGATATCTACATATGTTCGCTGAAGTAATATTTAGGTCACACATTTTGGGCAATGTGTGCCCAGAACTGACTCTGCCTATGGTATATTCCAAGCGAATCCATTCCAAGTAAAATACTTACACATACAAATACTTATAACTTGGTATTAGGTGTTCACAAAATTAAAGATATTTTTGCTGAACGCACTTCTTTATTTTGTCTTCATGCCAGTTCAGCGTTCAAATGCATTGAGCACGGTCAGTGGCAAACGCAAGCGGCTCTAAGAGTATTGGCTGTGAATTTAATGGCAACATTTTTGCAGGAGCTGAAATAAAATTTACCGACTATGTGTTACGTCATCATAACCGGCGGCAGTTTGGTCTGGTTTGTGCTTAGCCTGGTGGCCGACATGCTAATCGCATCGGCAATAGTCACACCTAAATGGTTGATCGGCCCGAATCCTACGTTCGTCAGTGTTGATTCGAGCACTTCCTCGCGCCTAACAAGCACTGACATCCAAAACGAAACGCAATTAATGTTACCAATACCCACGGTCCGTTATCCGTCCGTGGGTATTTACACTCGCTGCAAGGTGATGCACAGCTATGGTTACCACTGCGGTCCCTTCGATTTGGATGGCTTCGCGACTGACAGCAATGTTTACCCAGCCGCTTGGAAAGCCACGATGTTCTTTATGTCGTTGGGTTTTACTGTGCACTCCATAACGGTGGCGTTGACGCTGATAACCTTTTGTCGACAATCGGCTTTTGGCAAGAGCATACATAACATGACTGGTTGTGCACAAGTTGTATCAGGTGAGTCATTCCATTCTAGGCATTTTTAAAATATCGCAGGACGAAATTTTAGAACCATGAAAGGCGGTGCTAAATTAAACTTTTTGCAGCAATAAGCATTATGTTATCACTGTTTCTACATCCACTGGCTTGGGGAGCGCCGCGTGTGCAGTTCCTATGTGGCGCTGATGCTGAGCCGTTCTATCCAGCGGGATGTTCTATTGGTAAGGCTTAGTTAAACAATAGGCGTATGTATTCCCTATTATAGCTTAATAAATTCTTTCAGGTATTTCCTTCTACTGCGCTGTGGTCGCTGCAGTGCTTTGTTTCATTTGCGCCGGCATCAGTTTGAAGGCAGAGTCATCCAACATGCGCATGCGCGTAAAACGGCGAGTTGAAGAGGGAAATCGTTTCGTGTGCATTCCATAAAACCATAACTTTGTACGATGACAGTCGCATTTCGAATTTATCGAATAAAATTACTGTGGTGTAAATTATTTAATCTATGTATATTTTAATAGTGTTAAGTGCCTTTAATTTAGTTTAAACATTGTAAACTATTGCTAATACAAAATCAAGTGACATATTTTTTGTATTGACATATATACATACATAAGTGTACTTACATTGACAGCATCACATGTGCTACTCATTTTTAGATAAACACAATGTACATGCAGGTTATAAGAAAAGAAAAAGTTTCGAATAAAGCGTCATACAAAGCATGCACCTTCAATTGTATAATTTTCAAGTCCTAAATCCAACCTTTTGCCATATACTTGTAATACACACTGTAAATAGTTTTTGATAGTTAATCAAAGTGACTTGACCTAGATATCCTTTTAAAATAGTCGGTTCCTTGAACATTGGAATCGAATTTAGTTATTTGTTACAATACACAATTTATATGTGTAAATATTATAGTTATTATATAATTTTGTTTCTTCAGGTCCAAACATATTCACAAATCTTTTTCTACAAATAGAGCACCGAATTACTTCCGTATATTTGTACAGAACAAATTTTTCAAATTACAAATAAATACAAAAAATATTTAATTTAAATGTTCAATTATTACAATTTCTTTAACAGAAATTACACTTTTTACAACAGATAATGACGTATAACACTAAAATTTACAATGGATTTGTCTCTACTTCCGTTTTATTTTATTTTTTTTACCCTTACCGTCTGGTGCTGCTGCGTTTACTTTCGTCTTCGTTTTTGGTATGTAGACACCATGGTTGGTTATCTTTAGATGAGCAAAAAGCTTATTTTTAGACTGAAAATTTGCATGGCAGGTGACACACACGTATGTTGTTGCAGACGAATCTATGCTCTCTTTTTCCTTTATGTTGTCTGATTTTTCCTTTGTCTTGGGTACAAATTTCGGAAAAGGTTCATCAGTTTCAATAGTTACAACCGACGTATTCCCTTTGTCTATTATTTTCGCATCTTTATCTTCCACAACAGTCTTTTTCCCTTGTTTTTTATTTTTTCGCGTTGATTTTTTACTTCGGTTGTTCCAGTCCTCTTCATCACTTGTATCAAATTTTACATGTGTCAGAAAACCAGATGACAAAGTTTCTACCTCATGGGTTGGTTGCGGCAGAGATTTATTGAGTTTGTTACTTTTTCGTGTCTTTTTATTCTTTTTAAACTTGACGTTGCCCAATAATTCTTCCTCTTTATTGGAATCTTTTTCTTCTTGATGGTAATCTGTTTGAACATTTCCAGATGAATCTACTTCTTCTGATATATCTTCAATCTCTTTATCATCTTTAGAATTGTCAGTATCTAATTCTTCAATTTCACTATCCTGTAATTCGACACTATGTTCTTCATCTTCATTACTGTTTAGAAAAGCTACTTCTTCAGCTTGCATTTCGAGCTTCATACGTTCTAAGGCTTCCCGGTGCTTTTTGCTCGTTTCGTGATTTGCATATGCATTCTCGTTCTTAAATGCTTTATTACATGCTACACAATAGAGATCATCCAAATACAATTGCTCTTCCGCGGACTCTAGTACATCATCTTCATTTTCCACTTTTTCTTCATCCTCAGTTTCGCTTTCCTCTTCAGCGCTGCTGTCCCCATAATCCTGTGCCAACTGCTTCAGCTGTGCTTCATACTCATCGTTATTATTGTCGCTCTGCTTCTGATTTTGACGCATCTCTTCCACCTCACGTTGTCGCTTGCGTATTTGCTCCAGTCTATTCTGCTCTTGCTTTTTACGGTTAAGCTCAGCTCGCTCCTCCAGTAATTTTTTGTATGCTTGCACACGTTTATCTCGCTTGCGCACAAATGACACTAAGTTTTTCACCTAAAATTGTAAATATACAAGTGAAATGTCTATGTACGTGCTTTAATAATTACATCAGTTTTTTAATGATCACTTACCTCTTCATTTCTCTCTTTTCGTGCCTTCTGTACAACCTTTTTCATTTCTTTTTCAACCTCACGCAATATTCGACGATCCCTTATGTCTTTCACATCATATGGACAAAGCCATGTATATGGTTTCTTTGTGCAATATGACTGCCAATAGGCATAGAAAGGTGCAACAACCTCCTCATAGCTGCTTTTAGAATCACCAAAGGCGGGAATTTTTTCGATTTCACCATCGTCATCCATAAATTCAGCATCCTCTGCAGCAAGTTTCGCGAATACCTCTCGATAAACTGCATAGAAGCCATTTTCGTCATCCTCGTATCCACGGAAACATGAGGATGAGAAATATTCAAAAACGTCCAAACAGTTTTCAGTGTAGTCAGAGTTTTTGCCTCGCAATATTTGATCGCGATGATTATCATACCATGCCCGTTCCTGTGGGTCAGACAGAACTTCATAAGCTTGTTGTATCAACTGGAAACGTTCTTTGGCCACATCTACAGCATTAAGATTTTTATCCGGGTGCCAACGCAATGCCAATTTGCGATATGCAGACTTTATATCACCATCGGTTGCATCGCGTGCGACTCCCAATTCTTCGTAATAGCACCTCATTGCTAAGTTTTAGTAATTTTCCACAGACGTTCGCTTGAAATTTTCCAAATCTCCTCAATATACTGAAACTAAATTGAAAAATTTATATGAAATTAGCAGTATGTAAACGAACACATTGCAAGTTCACTTTGGACAAACTTTTGAAATTAGCTAAATACACCACGCATATGTTAGCTGTCAGACTAACAGCTGTCTTGGTGGTGTTACCTTATCACCTGAAACATATTTATACCTATAATTTAGTCTGTTACATATGAAATATGTATATTTAAAGAAAAAGTCTCTTAAAACCAAAAATAAACAAATTCTTTATTTATATCGTAGAGTGAGTTTATTTTTTAAAGTTATTAAATTTGATAGTCGTTTACTTTTACTAAATAATATCTCTTATTAAGTTTCGTTTTTGTATTAAATTCATTAAATTCGTTGTGGATGTCTGGTATTTGTTATTTTCAAATTACTCATAGAAGAGAATGGACCTAGCAACAACTAGTTGTGCGAGGAGCGAATCATATGGTTTTTGTCCGATACATATCTACTTTGAGTTTGTATTTCTAGGACAGACATATCACGACGATTTAGAACATGGACATGGTTGTCTGAAGAATTGTCCACTTTGATAATAATTCAGTTTTAATGAATTACTATCATACTAATGTAGAATTTTAGAGAAGCTATGTGATTCCGAAGTCTTCATGTGTATTATAAAATTATTACTATGTTTTTTGAACTGACCACTGTAGCTCGAAAACCGTGCGGTAAATTACAATTAAATTTATAAATTTTTTTTAAACAAAACAGTCATTTTGTTAATTTAAAAAAACCTTCGATCAGGTACAAGATTATATTTTAAAGAGCAAATATTTTTCTTCCGATTAATTGTAAATAAAGCTCTAATGTTTAGTGATGGTCACCGCAAGGAGCTTCGGTTAGAACTAGATCAACATAAACAGCATTTACTTTTAAAATGATTAATTTTTGTTTCCAAATTTCAGTCAAGTCGAATCGTAACCTTACTATTTAAATTGTAATTTTGTCAGGTCTCTGACTACACTTAACCCCATAACACATTAGTACACTTTCCGTAGAAAAAAAAAGTTTGGAAAAATAACTTTAGTTGGCATACAGTAAGTCCAATTATTTTTTGAATTATTGCCGGAAATAGTCAGTTGTATATATTGTATTGTATGATTAGTTTGAAATAAAGAGATTATGATATCAAATAAAACGATTTTTAATTATAGTCACCATTATGCTGATATATTTTCTTTTTTGCTCAAACATGTTTTTTAAACCGATACTTAGAATTCCCCGTCATTTCATGAACATGATTTGGATAAGCTTAATAGATGAGTTCAATGGAATATTGGATTAAACAAATTTTAGGTATTTTAGGTCACCTCCGATTGGCACTAACAAACAGTAATGAACTGAAGCCCCCTATTTTTAATCTGTCCGCTCCAATAACATTTTCTACACATCAATTAATTTCAATTCATTCGCACTTGAACTCGGATTTTCAATTAGTTTTCGAATGGGTGCATTAATGAGAAATAGATGGATGGGGGTTGATTTTCTGCTTACGCGGTGACTTTTTTAATAATCCGGTATTATCAAAATTTATTGCATTCCTTAAGCTGGCTATTAAAAACACCGTTAACGTTGCAAACTCATCGTCTACAGCTAATTTAATTTAATATGCAAGTAAGGTCGCTTGCATATATAGCGAGACCTTCACAATGCGCTTGCGCCAAACCGAATCCATTGTTTAGAGGAGAAAAATTGTAAATAAATGACAGGAGCGGATTTCAGGGACGATTTCTATAGAAGGTTGCTTTGTATATTAATATATAACAGTGTGGTTTTACTAATTAATAAAATCAATATAAAAAAATTTTATTTTTATATTTTTTTGTTTGATTTTCTAAGTCTTTGGAAGTTATAATTTTTTCCTTTATTTTTTATCTAACATTTTAAGAAAACTGATTGGATTCACATTTGTTTTACTTACTTATACCGTAGTTGCTATTGTAGCTGATTTGCACTAAACTTACTGTTAACAAGTGTTATATTGGATATCTCTTCAAGAACTGCCGCAAAAGACAACAACTGAGTGGATTTTTTTAAATCTTTCCGATCCGACTCGGTTTTCCCGTTTTTTTCTCTCCCCTATTTGGTGATTTACATTGTCGCTGGCGCCTAAAAGTGTGCTTTGAAATCATGTTAATAGCATTAAAATACTCATGATTGAGGACCCACTGAAAGGAGTTGTATTATTGGTAAATTCTTAAAATATATTTATACATATACTCACTGTTAGACCTGACTCCCTAAAAATAAAATATGTACACTTTTTTAGGTGTTTTAAAAGTTTTTTGTACAATATATGCCTTTCTTAACGATTTTAAAACTTAAATTTCACGAAATTCGTGTCTTAGCGCCCCATATTTTGGTAGGCCCGATTGCCACATTTAGTTCATGAAAATGTGCGTGTGCTCGTGCGAGAGAATGCATACAAGTGTAGGAAAATTTGGCGCTCCAACGCAGGGGTTGCGAATGTCAACAGTCGCCGAGTCAGTTGCTTGGTACATCTCAAACGTTGCGGACGCATTTCCGGTTAACTGAAGTTAACGGCACGTAAGGTAACTACATCACAAACAATTCACAAACCAGAGACACAAGTATACATATAAAGTCGCCCAGCGAAAGACGACGAAGGCGGGCGGTGCATACATTGAGACTGAAAAAACTCGAATCCATTGTCAGGCTACAACACCACTAGTTGGCGGCTGGCCATCGTCGCGGCTATTTTGCATATTTTCACGCTTTTTAATTGATTTATTTTATAAACAATTTCCATTTTATTTGCGAAAGACGGGCGAGACGAAAAGGCGAGAAAGCAAAGTGTGTATTAGTGTGCGAAAATCATGAATGAGTGGCAGCGAATTGCATTACAACAATATGAAAGTGCTATACCGTTACATAGAAATCGGCTGGAATATTTAGTAAAGCGATGCAATTTTTTTTCGTGTGGCTAGACGCCATTTACAGTTTATAAGTATGTGTAGTACGTAACGGCAAATTAGCTGGTGTTGAAAACGGAAACGGCAGTTGGGGCGCGTATAGGCAGCTGGTGTAACGCATATGAATCGGTGCGAAATAGTGCCAAGAAAATTTACTAAAAGCAAAAATAATGAAAAAAAAATAATTAAAATAGTGCTAAAAATTCAACAAAAGCAGCAATAGTTCGTAAAACAAAAATATTGTATTATAAATATAAAGCAATTCACGAAGTAGTGGCTTGGAAAAAAGTGTTCACCAAAAAGTCGTATACAATTCTCAAAATTATTATATATGTGCTTGTATTGAATTGCGCACGTGTGCGTTGATAGACATACATATGTGTGTGTACTTGAGTGTGTAGGTGAATGCGAAAAATTGATACAGTACAGAAAATTCCGACAGAATTGAAAATTTCTGTCAAGAATACGAAAATTTCACTCCGTACAACTACAATAACAACAAGAAGCCAACTTACACCACCGCTATCATTGCCAACCAAACAACAGAGCCAAATAATTACAACAATAATAATGAGAATAACTACAGTAGCAACATTAAAGCACCAAAAACAATTACAACAACAAAGGAAAGCAAAGTACTAACAACGACCCACCCTTGTCGCATACGCAGTCCCTCATAATCACAGCCAGTCCACACCTCCACCTCCACCACCACCACAACCAACGACTTTTGCTTGAACGTGTCCACCAACAAACAGCCACCGACCCACACCCGCAACCGCTCGCCACCTCATTGCTGCAGGGGTATAGCGCGCATCCTGCGTGTGTGCCAACAAACAGTCAATCATCGTGAGTAACCCTCCCCCACCAAATAACGTAGTTGAACCGAACAGACAAGCCGGCACTCGAGGCTCACGTACACACCGTTGAACGCTCTCTCATTCTCTCTGGCGTTCGAGTGCTCCAGCACTCTCAATTGAATTCTAGTGCAGTCACAACAAAAATAAACAACCGAATTGTGGAAAAAATTTTTTGCACGTCAAACGGTAAACAAACAGTACACCGACAGTTTAGAAGTTTTCACACATCGAATAAGCCGAGCGGGCGATAAGGTTCAGCGGGAAGCAGGGGCAGGTGGAGTGACGAAGCAGCATCTATAACGGCAACTATTAAAGTTGTTGCTTTTGTTTTTGTCTTTGATTATCTTGTTGTTGTTGTTATTGCCCACATTTCCGCTTTTTCACTGAAACAATAAGCCAAAGGATATGAAGGATATACTGGCGGCGTTGATGATGATGACGCTGCTGCGTCGGCAGTTGCAGGATTCACAAAGGATAAGGTAAATGATGCCGCATTCCGGCACAACATAATATCGTACAAAAACAAACAACACATTCACACAAATACAACGTACGTTAATATGAAGGCAAGCACAAAAACAACGGGCACATACGATTAAACATATACATATACATTTGTATTGGCACACAAATGGATTTCTGCAACGTATCCTGCCGCTTAGGCTTTACTGAGTCTGTATACCATACATATGCAACAACCTAAACACATATATATGCGGCGATAGTGTACTAGAGCATTCTTGTAACTATGTTACTATCCAGCATGCGTTAGGCGTGTGGGGCAAGCGGCGCTTTTTGCGATGTACACTTTCGTAGCACTGCAGGCGCTCCTTTAGTGGGTCGTTAAGAAAGGGGCGCAGCTGCATAGCCAAACGGCGTGGTTTGCCATGGCATGCCAGCTCTTGCATTGAATTTCTCTTATCAGCATAAAATGCTCCCTGGAGGCTTTTCAGCTTTTCTGCTTTTCAGCTACAACATTAGCAATGACAACAATAACAACAACAGCAACAACTTTTAAGAGTTGTCTACATTTAGTGTAATTTCGCTATGAAACGCTCGCAGGCTCACATTGTATCCCTTTGTGTGCACCCCCCGCCCACTCCGACCCACCACACCGCCTTTCGGTCGCCTTTCAGTGAACTTCAGCTTGTACTTTTCTATTCGTACATTAATTTGAAATTTCGCCTACACAAATAGTAAATAAAAATGTGAAACCTCTCCAAACCAAAGCGTAAGCGTAGCATATTTCTAAGATTTCATTCTGTCATTCTGTCTTTCTTGTTTTATTTCTTCAATTTCATGAGGTTGTAGTGCCATTTCTCGAATGATCTCTTGCTTGGTTGATGATTATGCCGGGATTTGAATGGCAACGGATAATGATGGCAAACAATTGCAAATGTGCCCCAATAGTGTAATCAATACCCACCCAAAAGTCGATGATAGTTAGTCGGTGTATGCAAATATACGAACACAATACTTAAAGAAATTCATCTTTAAGGATAGCTGGGTGCATAGTTCGAAGTAGGCAAAAAATTCAAAAATAATGGATAGTATCGGAATTCTTTTGCAAATTTACCTTCAATGGGTTTTATTAAAATTTTGAAACTAACAAGAAATAAAGTTAAGTTCGGTTGCACCGAAGCTATAATACCCTTTACAACAACAGAGGTTACATACAAGAACTTGATTTTGATCGGTCAGTTTGTATGGCAGTTATATGCTATAGTAGTCAAACACTAAATGAGCAACACTTGGGGAGAAAAAGACGTGAACAAAATTTTAGAACGGTATCTCATAAACTGAGGGACTAGATCGCGTATATACAGGCAGATGGACAAACAGACAGACGGACATGGCTAAATACCATAGACTCAGTTCGTCATGCTAATCATTTATACGAATATATGTATATGTATATTTTATAGGGTCTCCGACGTACTGGGTAACTGGGTACTAAAAGGGATTTTTAAGATACCCATTTTTGCACAAGCTGGACCTAGAAATACACAATATTGATATAAATGACGACGCAAAATCTGTTTCGAAAAGAGATTGATATTGATATTGCACATAGGCTACGATGGGTTGATGCTAATGGTGGGTTTAATAGTTGTGCGGTTTAAAACTTCTTGGAAAAGTATAATATAGTAATCTTCAGTATTAATATAGTAATTTTCATATCTCATAAACTTTTGAGGAAATGTAGATCGAATTTGGTAATAACATTAACTTTCACCTTTTCATGAAAATCTCGGTTAATAACTCATACATAACATAAATCATATTGGGTATTATGTTATACCCCTATTTGCCTTTAGACTGACTTATAGTGAAGACCATAAATTTAGACTTATTGCTAGATTTCAGTTCGCGCCAGCTAAAATTATATTAAAAATATTTATATATATGTAGAGACTAAATTTAATATAGGTATAATGAGTTGATGTGGAAAACGTCAACCAGAGGAACGGTGTTCATTATATCAGGTGTAATAAAAAGATATCCATTATTTTTCCAATCGATGGCGTTATTTATCTGTATCTCGCGTTGTAAAAGTCCGATCGGGTTCAGTTGGATGGCGTTAGAAAGATGACATTTCGTACTAAAAAAGCTTTTCTGACAGTTTTGTTAATTCAGTTTTGTTTGAGTGCGCAACAAAGATGGACACATTCTTCGATAAGGGCGAAAACGCAAGCCAGGCGGCTGAATACCGTTTATGGTCCTGATACTGTAACAGCCAATCATGCGCAATTTTGGTTTCGTCGATTCCGTTCCGGTAATTTCGATGTCAAAGATGCACCACGCTCTGGAAGACCTCTTATCGAAAAAAAGATCAAATAATGGAAATCATTGAGTCCAAACATCGATTACGATTGTCCAGGACCAAAACATTGCACAAAAAGCCGTTTGGAATCATTTGAATAAGTCTGGATACGAAAAGTAATAATTAAAGCATTCAATTTCATGCAAAAATAATGGATTTCTTTTTACTACACCTAATATTAGGAAATATGAGGTATAGACCAATTCTATTCTAATTCACCATTTTGCCTAACCTGTACGGTTTAAGGTCATGGGCATATTGGAGGCAGAGAAAGGGATGCAATCAGCCCGCATTAATTTGGACATTGCGCAAGTATACTTGAGAACATATTTTCAAGCAATGTTTTAAATATATAACTTACACATTCATTATATATAGTATTTGAGAGTTGGGGTTAGTATTGATCCGTATTTATCTATTTATACCATATACTATTAACATGTCACATACATCACCATCCTCTATGGAGTAAAGTCAACCGGTTGTTCGAAAATTCTGATATTAGTTATGTAGGGGCTAGGTCAACTTTTCACCCGATTTTATCCATATTTAGTACAAAGATACCCTGTTTGTGTTAAAATACGCTCTCTCATTTTCATTGAAATTACTTGGCCGATATTTGTGGTATAAAGTCACCCTGAAGTTCGGAAATTTGTCTTTAGGTAAATGGGGGCTGCGGGAACTATTGAATGATTCAATCCATTTTTACATACACACATACTACTATCAGGAAAGGATCCTCTCTGATCCTTATATATCACACACATTGACCGATATCTTAGGTAAAAAGTCAACTATAGGCACTGCGGTCCACATATTCGATACGTAGGGGCTTGAACAGTTTTTGTTCGATGTGGATTATTTTTGGTCATAAGTTGGCACACTTGAAAAGCACTACTCGTGCAAAGTTTTCTTTCGTTATATTAAATGGTGCTTTATTTGTATACTCGAATGTTAAATCGAATTTAAATTTATGTTATATGGGAAGTAGGTGTAGTTGTAGTCCGATTTCCTCCATTTTCCCACTGTAACATAGGAATATTAAAAGAATGTAATGTACGGAATGTGGTTGAAATCGGTTGAACAGGTCCCGAGATATGTGATTTCACCTAAAAATGGGCGGTGCGATGCGCATCGTCCAATTTGGCACTGGATCCCATAAAGCCTTCTTGTGCCATCTTGGCTGTAAAATTAAATGTCTCTGACGCATTTAGTTATTGATTTATCACACTTTTAATTTAACAAAATCTTTATGTGGGGTGAGGGCGAGTATATCATCCGATTTCACCTATTTTTACATTATCGTAAGACAGGCAGACAGTCACTCGGAATTCAACTCGTGTCATCATCATGATCATTTATATATGCATATATAACCCTATATCTAACTCGATTAGTTTTAGGTGATACAAAGAACCGTTCGGTGAACAAAACTGTTACACTCCGTAAGAACATGTTGCAAGAGTATGAAAATGGTTAATAATCGGAACATTCATTAGGCCATTTCTCTGACTTTAGCCGCATATGTACAGGTATTGCGCTGAGTATGAAGACGGGAAGAGGGCCCAAAATCGATAAAGTCACCTTTGCAATATTTTTTACCACATGCATAAATGCATCTATATGTATATACTATAAACGTTAAACTCAAAGTTTGTTCGCTTAAAATTGCAAATTTTCTTGCTGCTTTTCTTTTTATTTTACTTAATTTCAATGAACAAAAATTGTTTAACTATATTTTCATTATCTACGAGTATAAAGTCACAAAACCAGTAAGGAATGGATTGAAACTAAATTTTCATCTTATTAACTTATACAAGGTACAAATCAAAAGTTCCATGACTTTTTAAACAACGCGGCTTCTAGTGGCGCCATCTGTCTGAAATGGTTATCCCTCAATTGTGTATTCTTTAGCGCTGCCGTATAAAATTTATATAACAGCTGACAGCTGAGATATCGCGCTACATGTGAGATTACATTTGTAGTGTCGGTCGGAAAATGAGCATCGAACAAAAAGCCAACATTAAGTTTTATTTTAAACTTGGTAAAACTTTTACCAAACCTCATCAAATGATTAAACAAGTTTATGCCGATGATTGTCTATCCCGTAGATGTATTCATGAGTGGTTTAAACGTTTTCAAGAGGGACGGGAGGACTTGGAAGACGACGAACGTTCGGGCCGGCCTAAAGATTTTGTGAACGAAAAAAACACATTGTGCGTGAGCGATCATTAAAAAAGAGCCGAAATCATCGCTTAAATATATGGAATCGGAATTATCAATATCCGCAGCGTCGATTTATCGTATTTTGACAGAAAATTTGGGCCTCAGAAAGGTTTGTGCTCGATTTGTCCCGCACACTTTGAAACAACACGAAAAAGACCTCAGAATTCAACATTCAATTTGACCAAAAATCGCATTCATATCATCAACTATTCACCCTATTCGCCTGATATGGCACCCTGCGATTTTTATTTGTTCGGAAAACTACATTTGGCCATGAAAGGAAACCGCTATGCTGACGTTGATGCCATCCAAAAGGCGACGACCGCCATCCTCGACGCTATACCGACAAATGACCTAAAAAAGTCATTCGATAACATTCTTGAACGTGCAAAACGTTGTATTCAGGCGGAAGGAGACTATTTTTCAAAA